AGGTGCCATGGGTTTGTTGAGACCACATCTAGTACTAAGAAGAAATATATTTTACAGACAATAACAGTAAGAAGCTTATCACTTATTTATGTTTTAAATTTGGATTATATTTTATATATTTATTTCTCCAAAATTACTTTTCATATCAGTGTTGATGTCATGACGGTGTTCAGTGACTCCATGACACTTTCAGTTTGACTCATTAGGATTTAATTAAGAACCAGCTTTGTTGTGTGTAATATCTGTCCAGTAAAACTATTAATCTATAAATCAATAGACAGGAGTATATAAAGATATAATCCATGATCCTTTTATATGCCATTAAAAGGATCTGGAACTTTTACTTTTCCATTGAAAGCACAGCTTCACATAATAAATGCCATGTGGGTGAAATTTTATGGTGATACTCCGATGTCCCATTCTCCTGAAGGCAGCACAGCTCTGCACCACCAGAAACTGACAGAAACATTAAAGAGAAGAAGAGTTACGATTGACACTATTGCAGTTCTGTCTATGTTTTCATGTTGCAGATTACTGTTGTTTTGCAAACAGATCAAAGTTTAAACTTTGGCATTGTTTTATATCTTTGGTCATTTTGTTCAAGATTTAGCAACTAACATCAGAAAATGGCACAAAACAAGAATATTTTTTCCCACTCTGATAGGCTGCTGTTAGGCCCACTACTTTTAACTTGAATATCCATTAATTGCATTTTTCTTAGACACCTGTAAAAAAAAAAACATTTCTATTCAAGTTCTCTGGGTAATTATTTTTGATGTTAAATACAGAAACAAGCATAAAAATCAAAACATCAACAATAGTGACAGTAATGTTAATAATAAAATAATATTCAGTGCAAAGCAGCCTACAAATTATTTGATGGGGGCAGTGAGGGGGCTGGATAATGGATAGGAGGGTCACTGGCTCAAAAAGGGTTGAGAAACACAGACCTACAAAAATGGCTGACGGTGCACTGCTGCCCCCTGTAGGAATTGTATGCGAACGCAGTGGAAGAGGTCACAGGTCCAGTTCAGTTTGCTCATCAGTGGGTCAACATGACGGACGTCACCATCAAGATCAACGACACACACACGGTCAGGAAGCACACATAAAACATATTTAGAATGATCATAATTGTTAAAATAAAGTTTAGAACCTGAGGTATTTATTGAAAATGTATCATTTTTGTACGTGATTTAAAAAAAAAATACAATTCAACATCCTTTGCATTCAGATTTATTAAAATGTTGTTTGAATTTGACATATTTCTTGTTACAGAGACCTTTTCAAATCATCCATCACCGCAATGCTTAATTTCTGAAAGGATTTTTTGCAAATTTCTTCTACCTGTATTTTCAATTATGTTGACGATTTGTAGAGAGTGGCAGCAAGCAAATTGTGAGTTAAGATACATGTCATCATTAAATATGGTGTCTGGAGTGATAGGAAGTTTTATCAAATAAACTCTCAGTAAAATCTTGGTTTTTTTAGATTGTTGTGAGTATCTGAAAGTTGGGGAAAGCTTCTACGAGTTTAGTAATTCAAACTGGAATTTTTCCTACATTACCCCCGTATATATTTATGTCTGTGCTGGGTTTTCTTAGGTCAGCACATGCAAACCAGCACTGGGTCACAGTTTTGCAGCAGGAACGATAGACGGGGGAGGAGACTTGAATTTCACTCAAGGTGGCTTAATTGTCGTCTTGCTCTCATTCAAATGTCAGTACGAAACGTTGCCCTTTCCCTGACATAGCCTGTGACCCTCGCTTGTGTGTGAAGGTGCCGTGGAAGGAGACCCCTTTTGGGATGGGATCAGGGATGCTCTGGTGGGGCCACCATCCAATCAGACGAAGGAATGTCATCATCCCAAACCCATCCTCTTCAGCACAGGCGAGGTGAAACATAGCAGAACTCAGACGCTGATTTTTATTTTTCCAAAAGATGACCAGACAGAGTACAAATCAATACAAGACTGACATTTGTATTACTCTGTCATTTTCAACGTGCTGCTTATGTGAACGCTTGCTCTTCTGTCTACTTAAAGATCAAACATGTGATCATTGAAGCACACTTTGTTTTTGTGGCGTACAGATGAACTGGCCTCTGCCTTGGCATCCTCAGATTGTGGATGTTCAGATCATCACCGTCGGCTCCGTGGCCGTCATCGCCGTCCCTGGAGAAATGACGTAACCGCGTCGTACCTCAATTATCTGAAGCTGCCTGCTCACTAAGTTTACTGGTAGCACTGCTGCTTACATGCTCTTTATTTATGTGGTTGCTTCCACAGCACCATGTCAGGAAGGAGGCTACGAGAAGCGGTCAAAAAAGTGAGCACCGACATGGACACAAAAATTTGGCAGCGCGTCACGTGGCTTTACACGGAGGTCTTAACACATGTTGTTGTTTATCAGGAGCTGACGGCAGTGGACACCTTCAGGAACTCAGAGGTGGTGATTGCCGGACTTAGTAACGTCTACACTCACTACATAACCACGTATGAGGAGTACCAGGTATTTGTCAGATCAGTCGTCAAATGTGTCGTCTTAAAATCAGTCTACCAAGCAGACAAGACCAGAACAAAATGAGAATAATTCATAACAGAGGTGCTTAAATGAACCTAAATCAAGCATTTAAGACTCTAAGTCCAGTTACATGTTATGTGAAATTTCAATAAATTTAGTTATGATGAGAGACTTATTTTTTCTTTTTTTTTTTTCATGGCCTGATATTTGTCTCAAGTTACTTTCTGACATTATCCAACAAATTTCCACCCGTGTGTTGCAGGTGCAGCGGTATGAAGGAGCGTCCACCATCTATGGTCCACACACACTCACTGCTTACCTGCACAAGTACCGTGAACTAGCCAAAGCCATCGCCCAGGTGTGGTCAGGCAATGAATAAGTTTGCTGTGATTTAAAAAGAAGAAATAATAATAATAATTTTTAGTTAGGGTATTCTTCATCACCGGCTAGAAGTAAACGGTGATGAATATTGACATTTTAAGTGATTAATGTTACTGTTAGGAGGACAGTGTATTTTTTTAGACTAGGGTTAGGGTTGGTAAAGGGAAGAAGCAGAGGTCAAGATGACATTTGTGAATGCAAAAAAAAAAATCACCTCTCTGGATTCCATGTTAGGTTATCAGAAAAGCTGTGTGTGGGTTTTTTGAGTTTTTAAAAACTAACGTTTTGCAAAAGGTTGCTCTGACGTCTGGATTTTAAAAAATAATGAATAATTGAAAATCTCAGATGTTTGATGCTTCAACAACGAACTTATATGTATAAGTATAAATCAAATGCATAATTTGTGTTTTCAGGACAAAGTGTCAGAGCTGCCTGTTGGCCCTGAGCCTCCCTTCTTTACAAACAACCTCTTTAATTTAATGGCTGCAGCAGCGGTGGACAGGAAGCCTGAAAACAGCAGCTTCGGAGATGTTCTGGAGCAAGTTCTTCCCGCCTACAGGCAGGTAGGAGGCCCAACCTCACACCCGCTTTATTGTTTTCATAATGTCATGTAGATTTATTAAGCATTCATCAGACTTCCATTAATCACTGAATACTTTATTTTGGCACAAATTCTCCAACAATTCAAATATTTTTGTTTCATTTAACTTAATTTAATCAAAAGCGGAATAAATGGAACACTTCAAGATAACCTTTTACGTTATTCCTTGTATGCATATACTTAAATGCAGATATGTTTTTTATGTACATATCTAAAATACACTTTGTTTCCATCTCTTTTTTTAAGGGTGATGTCGTCTCAGTCACATTTGTAGCAGGAAATCCTCGACATTCAGGAGACATTGTAAGGAAAGAGGTTTTTTGTTGTTGTTTTTTTGCTGCAGTAGTCGGTAGATTTTACCTTTGAACGTCTGAGCATTTTACAGAATTGTTGTAAGATTCTGTTTTCATCCTCACTAACAACTTGTTTTCTTTGTTGCAGAGCGACAAGACATTTGTCACAGTGGAGATTTATGACAACAGAACAAAAATCTGGGAGGTTGTTTACAATGACGCGTCGTGGGAGACCAGGTTGGTTTACCTGCAAATTTCTTGATGGATAAAAATGAAAAATAAAAGCATTTCAACATTCTTAAATAATGGGATGAAAAAATACTTAGCAAAAACTTGCATCAGTGTAGTGTTGTGTGGCTTGTCAGTATTTTTTTTTTTTTTCATTTGTGACTTACCTGTACAATAGGAGGTATGTAAATGTTCTTTTTCGACAGTTTTGAGTTGGGACCTAGCAATTTCAATTTCAGGCCACAAACTGCAGGAGAAAACCTTTTTTTTTTTTTTGTAAATGTAACATATTTTCTTTAAACCTGAGACTAAAGTTCACTGTAATTTCTGCAGGTTTCATTGGTTAAAGGGTTCAAATCGACAGAACAATGCCACAGTTGAATGGTTCATCCCCTCCTCTGCTCCTACTGGCTCCTACAGGATCAGACACTTTGGACATTACAAAGAGCTAAATGGCCTGAGACCCGTCATCATGCCGTACGAAGGCTCGTCCGACGTCTTCTTGGTCAGGTCCAGCTACTATTACTCACATGACCAACCTGTCCACAACTCTTGATCCTTCCTCTGAACTCTCAGAAGTGTCCCATCAGGATCTCAGAAACATTTGTTTAGATTTAAGGAATGAGCCATTTTGAAAAATAATATTTCAAAATAATAAGTTATGAAATATAAATGAATTGCTTTGTGTATATTGGTGAGAATATTTTGTTTTCCTTGATTCTGCAGCGTTTCCATTGTGTCTCAGACCTATAATCTTGTGTTTTTTGAGAACAGTTTCTCTCTTTGTCTTTGTGGTCATCTTTGCAGGTGTTTCATCCTATTATTACAGTACTGTTGCACCCATATTTGATCTCTTTTATTTGTTAAAATCTCCCACTTACTGTATTTCCAACCCTCAACTAAACATTTAACTCAATTAAAAATGACAAACTCACATTTATAGCAAAAATATTTATTTTAAACTTGTCTGTATAGAAATGTCTCAGCCAGGCCAGGGTTATACATTACAGGAACAATAATAATCGTCACAGCAGCATGGATAAGGTCACTACAGCAACACTGACGTGCATTCGGCGGTTTCAGGAAGTCGGCGGACAACTAAACCTCGGTCAAGTAAAACACATTTCATCAGAGAGATCGGGTTACAGAAGACTACCAAGGTTTCTTTGTACATAACGGAACCCACAAGCTCGATTATGATTATTTTACACATGCTGTTCCTCAACAATGGAGTACATTTTTAGTTTTGAACATGTGATGTTTTTTTTTTTGTTTTTTTTTTCCTTTTAAGTCGGCTGCAATATGAATCATCATCACAAACTCTGAAAAAACGGATTTGTTCTCCAGGTTCACTCAGCATATAACTGTTTGGATCGACTGACGCACAGACGTTACTCATGTGACGTTCGACATTTGAGCCCTGCAGCCTCTGGAAGCCCTTTTTTTCTCTCTCTCTCTCTCTCGACATCTCGCACATTCACAGATATTTACAGATTATCTGTCGGCACTCTTATCCCTAACAACTGAAACTCTTATGCGTTGAAGATATGGAAAACTAAACGTCACCAGAGCAACTTAAACCCGTTTGCATATTGAGTTTTTGGGTGAAAATGATTTTTCCCTTTTTGAAAATTTAAAGTGCTTGGATGTATTAAAACATGCATCTCTGTTCATTCAGCAGTCGGATTAAACACTGAGCGATGGATGTCCTCCTGCACTTAAAGTGACTTCACAGGTAGATTGATGATGCTGGAGCAGAGGATCCCTCCATATTTTCTTCTCAAAACCATTCTGACCAACAGCAACAAACATATTTAAATATAAGTGAATAATTAAAAATAATTCTAATCTTTTGGTTCTACTTTATAATAGGAAGCAGCTCTTTCGGATTAAAAACAAATCATATTTTTTTCCCTAAACCGGAGCTAAAGCGTAACAGATTGTTCTCATGTTTGAGTCACAGCTTCATGTCAACATTGTTAATATCTCTGTGATTATTAAAGGCACAAATGCTAAAACATTTAAAAAAATATAAATGTAAAAACTATTGTGGCTTCAGTCAAATTATGTCTCCAGTCTGTTGGAATGCAAACTGAATTTTGACTATAAACATTGAATAACTGAAAGGTGCCACCTTATATGTTATTTACTGTCTTTAATTTTGAACCACAACTATTAAAAATATATATATTTAAGTTAACACTTTTTAAAATATTTTTCTTTTCATTATATCTGCTTTGAGAAACCTGCTTGCGGATCCACTTTATCCCTGGATGCTGTGATGCGTTTCATAGATTGTTGAAAACTTCATTCGATAACATTTCAGCATATAGACAAGCGGCCTCTGATTGAGCATATAGTGATTAAAAACACGTAGGAACATCAGCCTTTACATCTTAAATGGGATTTTTGAATTTGAATATCATCATCATGCCAGTACCTTCAGGATCGGCATTGAAATAAAATGAAATATTTGTCCGCCTTGTCAGATTCTTAGCTACAGACAGACGGTCACAGTGTTGGGGGCGAAAAATTAATATTTAGGATGGAATTCATTTGGTGATTTCAATGTTTTTAAATGAGTTAAGAGCACATAAGTTGTTGATCAGACTATTTTTATTGAGCATTCCTAAAATAACCAATATATGGCCAAGGTTTGTTGGATTAAATTTGTAACTGAAAAGATTGCTAAAAGTTGGCATGTTCAGACATGTTTGAGATTCAATCAAGTTTGTGATATTTGTTAAAATATACGAAGTATTTTTAAGCAGCTGCCATTATTGTGCTGGACGTAACTAATGTTTTAATCCTACAGCCAGGAATAATGTGGATCTGATAACCTTTCTTTTTTTTCTTTTTTTGTTTAAGTAAAAGTTGGTCGTCTTCATTTGGTAAAACAAAATGAAAGCATCTCAACCATCTGTGCAACTTTCTTCACCAATGAAAACAGACCCCTTTGTTTTTTATTTTAAAAAAGAATGAATGTCAGAGATTGAAGGAATGTTTGTTCACATTAAACTGGGCCGACCGGAGCAGAAGTCCGGGCGTTTTGACTGATCAGCTTCAGGGCAGTTTAAGAGGAAATAGAGGGAAAACCGGGAGCGGCTCACGCCGGAAACATCAAACACAAAGTCACACAGTTTCACACATACGAACACACACGGGCAACACTTCAACCACACTTTAGCCTCATGAAGAGAACCTTTTAAACACTTTATGAACATGTTTTCCATCGATCGTGGTCGCTTTGGACAAACCGTATAAACTACAAACACATATGGAAGTTTTGTTCAGATATCAGAAAATTACTGTGGGATAAATGACGCTCTAAATGGATTTTGCACTTGTGCAGTATATTGAACTGATGACATATTAGATTGAAGACCTGAAAACATGTTTGAAACACATCAGAAATGTGTGAGAAACATGTGGAAAAGGTGACGGAATCATTTCAGACATTGTGTCGAAATACTGCTATTCTGAAGATGATGTATGGCACTAATTTCTAACATTTGATAGTTTTATTTTTTTTCGTAGTTTACTTCTGTTGTTTGCCTTCAGGGGGTTTGGTTGACGTCCTGTTTACTGAGCAGAACCTCCAGCAGCCGCAGTTTGGCTTTGAGCTGTTTGTATTCCTGGTATTCCTCCTTTATCGGAGTGCGGTCCTCCTTCTGGCAGACTCTGTTGGGAAAACCAGCCACTTGGTAAGTTACGCCATGTATGGCTGCTCACTTATTTAAGAAAAATCCTGATCAAATCACTTTTTAATCTTTTTAATCATGTTTAAAATGTAAAATTCTGGCAATCTGCCGTTTTTACATTTATTTTTTTTGCACTTCCCACAAGGCTCACAATACCTCAGCTGAGCTAAAAGGGGGAACTCCATCATTGATCACTCATCACATAGACGTTTAAAGTTTGGAACACTTTTAAAACATTTAGATCGCATCCAGAAGTGAACAGAATCCTCAATATGTTGTTTTTTAAAGGGGATTCTTCCATGTTTCCTGCATTACAGAAGCTTTAGGACAAAAGTTTTGCCAATTTTCAAAACTTGTGACTAGTCAATACCAAAACATTACAAAGTCTAACAATTGCAAATGTGTATTTTCTCATGATTTAGAACGGGCACTGTGGGCTTACATACCGACCGGTCTGACGGTAAAACTCGTCCTCGAACTCCCTCAGAACTTTTCTCCTGATCTTCTTCTCAGCTCTGGTTTGCCGCAAACACTCCAGCAGCTGAGACCTTAATCAGCGTCAGGAGAGGAAGGTTAAAAGACATTCAGCTCTGTTGTAAAGTAAACCATGAAGAATGCAGATGCAGATGCAGCTGTAATTCGGTAAAAGCACACCTGGACGCTTCATGCAGGTTGGCCGTGATGAGAGCTCCGTGCTGACGGACGGCTTTCACCTCGTCTATTGGGGACACGAAGGCCGGGTCGCTGTCCCGGTCGCTGTCCTCCTCATTGGCAGCTGGCCACGTCACTCTGCAAGAAGGCGGCACTAGAACATCACTTACCACAGAGGAGGTCAGAGACTCTTCATCTGAGCCCTCCTCTTCCTCCTGAGGGACAGAAACAGAAAATGGATTACCGTACGCTCTCTCTTCCACGCACAAGTTCTTTGGTTTTATGTTTGTAATTTAGACATTGGATAAACTGATTTTCAGCTACATTAACCCACTGAGTTTAGTAAAAGCTGAAATATATTTTTTATTGAGAGTGCCACCAGAGAAAACAGAAAACAGAATCTGCTTCTGATTCAGATTTTTTCCTATTTGAGAAAGAAGCAAAACTGGTGAAGAACAATTTGCGTGTGTGTGTGTGTGTGTGTGTGTGTGTGTGTGTGTGTGTGTGTGTGTGTGTGTGTGTGTGTGTGTGTGTGTGTGTGTGTGTGTGTGTGTGTGTGTGTGTGTTTGCTTCTCACTATGGTAGTGATGGTGGGGCTGGCACACAGTAACCGTTTGATCATCTGGTACCGGTCGTAAAGAGGCTTCACCAGGTTCTTCTCCTGCTTCGTTCCCTGAAGGATAAAATGGAGATGATAAGCCTCTGAAACCCTTTATCTTGACATAAGCTTTTCAACAGCATTTCTACACAAACTAAAGGGTAAAAAAGTCTCATTAATCGGTTTGTCCCGTTCCAATTTTGATATCAATCCAATATAAGCCAAAAAAAACGAGTATCAGATTGTATTGGCATCTAAAATCTCCATAAAAAGCATTAGAAGCACTCCGCTCCGGTATTCCACTCCAGACTCAATGTTTAATTACAACCAATACATAGTTGTTGGCTATCGTTTACTATAGTACTTTGTAAAACCTTTTCTACCATTCCTTACAAAAAAATAACTAAAATAAGTATGTATCAATTGTGCTGATATCATATTGGATCAATATCGTTATCGCCAATACGCAAAAATGCAATATCGATATATCGAATATTGCTTTGTATCGGGACGCCCCTGCTCATTAAATGTCTGAGATGAAGGTAAAGTTTCCGTTGGAGTCTTACTGGTTGGCCGTGAACACTCTCAAAGTACAGCAGACATTTCTGCAGTGTGATCTTCTCCAGGACCATCTGTGCCTGCGTCATCTCCTGTACACCAATAGGAGCAGACAGGAAGTCGAAGCGGAGGTTAGGCTGAGCTCACGGAAGCAATTCAGACCCCGTCACAGTGAACACAAACCTTCATGTTGTCAGGGAGACCTAGAGACTGTCTCTTTTCTCTCAGCCGCCTGAATAGAGACTCCACAGTTTCCTCTAGAGATGGGTTTGTGGTCCGACGCCCCCTGCTGACCGGAACCCGATCTGCAGATTAAGAGAACCCAGATGAAAATATTTATATATTTATATGCATATATATCTTTAAAAAATGTTTTATGCAGCAGTTGAGTTATACCTTTTAAATATCTGATTACAAATTTTATTACTCTAATTAATTAATTTAGCTGTGTAAATACTGATACTTCAAACAATGAATGGATGAAATTGTATGGAACATTACCTGCATGTTTCGCTGGATTCTTGCTCCTTTGACTCAAACACCGACTGTCGAAGTCTCAACTCTGCAGAGGAGGCACAATTAAAACAGCAAAAAATACACTGAATAACATTTGCATTAACAATTGCATTGAACCGACTATTTATGGAATGTGTTGCAGAGAAAACGGAGGATATTATAGCAAGACCAATTAAATACCTATGTGGTTTGTTGTTTTTTATTAGTCTTTTTCAGATGTTCTAACTACAATAGATTAATTATAGTAACTGCGACAAATCTAAATTCAAATAATTCTTTTTTTTTTTTTTTGATAAACCGGTACAGAAATTGCAGATCTTTGTTGCAGTTTACCTTTAAGTTGTTTCCGAGCTTTTGCCAGCTCACTCATCACTCTGATCATCTCCGGGTTTGAATATTTATCATTGTGGGACGGCTGAAAAAACAAACACAAAACAGACGACAATTCAGATCAATTAAGAATTCAAAACCATTTAAAATAAATCATCACAACAAATATCCACAATACTAAACTTTACATATCAGTAGATGGTTGAAGTTTTTGTGGTTTTGGGAAGTTGTCCGGGTCGGCATTCAGAAGAGGGGCGTGAATGAGCACCAATATATTTTGTGGAATATATTCTGAATATCAAGACTGCGCGAGTGTCCGGAGTAGAAACAGTCTTTATTTTGTTTGCTTATGAAATGGTTTATCCTATGTTTAAGTACACGAAAAGAAAGAAACAAACACAGCTGGAAATCATGCGTTTTTCTGTTGTTCTACTCCACAGTGAAATATGAACAGATGCCATAAATAAAGCGAAAATAGGAAGAGAAAAAGAAGCCATAGTTGAAGGCTTTAAACTGATCAAGGTGACCGTTACCTCATCATGTGAGAGAGGAAGTGTAGATTTACCTTGTAGTTCATTTCCTGCTCAAACTGATCCTCAAACCTGCGAACCCTCTTCTTCAGGCTTTGAATGTGTCGAGTGAGGAAAGGGATGGACGATGGACACTCGTCCTCTGAGACCTCAGTCCTGTCCCCGAGACTCCTGCACCTATATAGAGGAAAGTAAGGTTCAGCTTCACTAGTTTTCATCTTTCTGCAGAACATAAACTACAAATCAGGGCCTCAGTGAAATTCAAACTAGATATTATGCCTCAGTTTCACTCATTTCTGTTGAGCATCAACGCTCCCGTAATCAGGGAGTCGATTCTGAAAAATGCCTGAATAATTTGGGAAGGCCAGCCTTTCTCTAGCAAAACACAGTCAAATTTGGTAATATGGAAAGAGAGTCTAGTGAGACATCAAACCTCAAACTGGGTCATGGACACACTTGAACCCCTGCCTCAAGCTTTGGTTCTAAAGATAAAGTAGGAAAATAATGGATGGATTACGTAAGATGCATTAAAAAGGCAGACACAAGGTCAAAATAAAATCGCCTCATCAGGACAAAAAGAAAAAAACAAGTCTCACTAGATTTTATTCAAAACACTCTGCTTCTTTTTATACATCTTGTGATAGTGTGTTGAAAGGAAAATCCTTTATGTCTTACAATGACCAATAGAAATTCATATTGTGCAACCAGTCGCACACTGTGTCTCTGCCTATCACTATGAATGAACATTCAAAAGAGCCTTAAATGGATAACTACTAACTACATTGTCCCATTAAAATGTTGATGCATATTGAGTTGTTAATGTTGTTGATTATTTGATGGCAAATAAAAGTTATCAAAATAAATTATCGCTGAAACTTTCTCCACCTTCAATGTGACCTATAACCCATTAAACTCAACTGAAAAACACAAAAGCACAAACAAAGTAGAAAATTAATTAACGTGGTTGCATCAGAATGCACACTTTCTAGTATTTGGGGAGCTGTCATCTTTCAGCACAAAGTATACCAACATGACATCGCATTCACCTGGAGCAAGAATGGTCCTGCCTGAGCCCAGACCAACAAATTAGATTACTACAAAACCAAATACAAAGGAATATAAATCTAAATGAGTTCAAATGGGATTCCTGAAGAAACAAAACAAAAGCTACGTCATGAAATCTATCACCAGATCAGTACTGTCACGTGAAAACCACCAGCTAATTCCCACATCTGGTCAAAACCCAGATTTCATTTATAACCAACAACACACTCATCTAGAGCTGCACAGGAGAAATAAAGCTCAAGAACACATAAAAGAATTTTATTCTTGATAAATCAAACATTCTGTCTCATCCAGATACAGCATCAACAAGTGCCAAAACTTAACACCAGGGCTTGCTGTTGAAGTCTAGTCCTATCACTCTTAAACCCAAACCTACATTGTACCTAAATCTGGACACATATTGTACAAGTCCAGAGAAAACCATCAACAACTGCACCAGTAAAAACATAAAAGAACAATTGGGCTCCAATTCTGGACTCAAAGAAGACTGGTAAAATCAGAGCCATTTTAGGACCAACACATCCCAGTTCCTAAATTGTCTGAAACATATCTACACTAAAATTAGATGGATGTCAAGTTCCAAAAGTCAAAACTCAAATTCTAAGACACATCCCAAGTCTGTGAGACTGTTAACTGAAACTATTTCAGAACAAACGACATCTAAATTCACAAACTAGCTCAAAATCAACTCCGTTATTACGTTTGACTGAGTCATACGTATGTTGGGTTGTGAGCCAACATGTCCAGAATCCAGAAGGCATCGATTCCACTAAATCAATGCCATCCAGCTCACCAGGAGCACCTCTCTTGAGTATTTTGAATTTGTTTTAAATGCTCAAGCACACCTGCCTGGGATTCAAATGACTTAATCCTTCCTTAATTTGTGCAGACACCTGCATCAAACTCTAGTCCTCCATGGACAGTTTCTAACGACATTTAGGTATGCCCTGGTTCAGCACACCTGAATCAAACAGACACATTTTCTTGTCCAAGAAATGAACAATATCCACCCTTGAGGACTGGAGTTTGATACCCGTATTTTTACCCAAGGTTAACATCTCAACACAACGCTTTGGATGCTCACAGCATGTACTGCTGGCTGCAGGGTGGTGATGGAGCTGTATCTGGGTCGGAGTTGAACCTCAGGCTGGGGCTGCAGCAGCGTGGGGAGGGGAGTGGGCTGGGGAGGCCTGCCAGCAGCTGGAGAAGAGCTCCGCCTCCTCCTCCTCCCCCCTCCGATCCATCTCCTCCTCCTCCAACCTCACCCCCAGGGCTGCTCCTCTGTGGGGAATGATGAGGACTGGGGGACAATGTCCCGTCGGAGACCAGGGGCTGCTGGCTGGGACGGATGGAAGCTAACGGCTGGTGTCTGGGGGGTTGTGAAGGTCTGGTCAGGACCGTCAGGAGCTCTGGTGAAAACAAACGACAAATTAATGGACATAATGGCCCATTTCTCATGCATATTTGATGGGATCACATCGGTTCTCCAACATTTTCAGCAATTAGCTAGTTGTAAAGATCTTCTTGCTACAGCAGCTGATCCTGCTTAGTCTCCGGTTCCACTTTAAATTCCCAGCAAATGCTAACAGAGAGCTGCCTCGGTGAAGCACGCAGTTTGAGAGAGTCGAGGAGCTGAAGGAGGTCAGTGTGCTTCACAGAGTTTTACTTCGGTGGCTATAAATAGCTGATCGCTGAAGGGAGGTGGGAGACTGAAAACACACGCACACACACACACCCACTCTGTGAGAGGCTAGGAGGAGCTGATTCATCAAAAACCCTGAGACAAAAACCTGAAAATACTTCAGAAGGAGCTTAAGAGGGACACCATCTGACCTGCACAGAGACAGACGGGTGAGGACAGACAGGTTGGGGCAGGAACAGAAAGACGAGGACAAGAAACAGACAGGTAGGGACAGAGACAGACAGGTAGGAATAGAGACAGACAGGTAGGAATAGAGACAGACAGGTAGGAATAGAGACAGACAGGTAGGAATAGAGACAGACAGGTATACCTGGTGGGTGGTTCTCATCTGTCGGGGCTCTGTGGCAGAGAGCTGTCGTCCTCCCGTCCTTCCCCCCCAACTCGATGGGGACGCAGGGGCTCTTCTGCTCCTTGCTGACCAGGGCAGAGGGGCTCTCCTCTGGGGACGTCCCCCGAGGACCCTCCTTCCACATCCAGAGCCTGGAGCTTAAGCAGGGAACTCTGCAGGCAGAAGCAAAACATGCCGACACACTGATAAACCAGGTCCTAAGAGGAGTATGTCCAACACGGTCAGCAGTGACTCTCGTCACCAAGATGGATCCAGATATTAGCCCGCTCGCTGTCCCTGGATGGCTACATGTTGAGGGGGCAGGAAGATGCTGATTGCTTCTTGGGGTACGATCATGTCCTCCAGGCGAAAGGATGACTCACTCAGGGTTTAACCCACGAATTAGCCTCATCCCTGTGGGTCAGCCAGATGTAAGGAGGTTAAATATAAATCCTTCTCTCACTCAGCGGTGTGGTCCAGGTTTTCAGTGAAATCCGGTTGCCGTGGATGATGCTCTCCTGATTCCTTCCTCCTGCGCTGGCAGTGAGTGCTCAGGAATTAGCCTGCTCCGATCAGACTCAGCTCAGCAGGACGGTTTTTTGAATTCTCAGCCTGTCGTCTTGCACGTTCACTGACGATGATGATGGTGGTGACGATGCAATGGTCTCCTCCCTTCCTCCTCCTCTCTCGCCCTCACTGTGTGCGCACCTCTCTCGTCTCCCCTCCCTCACCGGCTGGATTACTCATCCTCAGTCTTGAGAGGAAGAGGAGGGGGATGAGAGAAGGAGGATGGAGATGTTTGCCTCCGTCAGGACGAGTGTGCGGGGGACCGGCTCTATCTGATTGTGAGGTTTTTCCCGCATCAGAGAGGGAGGGCCCTGCTGCTGACATCATCATCTCATTCATAAACGGGCAAGATGAAGGAAAAGAGGAGGAGGAGGGACGTCCTTCTCCTTAGAGGCAGTGAAGCTGCTGCCTCACAGAAAGATGCACACAAAACATCCTTCTCTTCTTCAGCATCAGAGATTGATGGAGTACCCAAAAATTATACCCAGAGTACTTCAACATATTTTTACTCAAGTAAAAGTGGAAAGTAGCCATGCGAGAAATTACTTCAGCCACAGTAAGCAAGTATTTGGCACAAGACCTACTGAAGTACTGAGAAGCTGATAAAAACATCAACCATTTAATATTTCAAAATTGCATCATCAGTTGGACCAAAGTGGAGTTATGTTGAGATTTAGTTTTTTTTTTTCAAGACCCACAATCAGAACTCCCACTGGTATTTAGAAAATAAAACAACTATGACTATTCCATGATTCTCCATGACCTTTAGTATGTAAAAGTTCAGAAAGAAAAATTTATGACTTTAGGACGAACGCCACCAAGTTGAACTAATGACAAAATGTGAAATATGGGCTGCACGGTGGCACAGTTGGTAGCACTGTTGCCTTGCAGCAAGAAGGTCCTGGGTTCGATTCCCGGCCTGGGGTCTTTCTGCACGAAGTTTGCATGTTCTCCCTGTGCGTGTGTGGGTTCTCTCCGGGTTCTCCAGCTTCCTAACACAGTCCAAAAACATGATTGTCAGGTTAATTGGTCTTTCCAAATTCTCCGTAGGTGTGAGTGTGTGTGTGTGCATGGTTGTTTGTCCTGTTTGTCTCTGTGTTGCCCTGCGACAGACTGGCGACCTGTCCAGGGTGTACCCCGCCTCTCGCCTGGAACGCAGCTGGAGATAGGCACCAGCACCTCCCGACCCCGTTAGGGAGAAGGGTGACCGGAAAATGGATGGATGGATCGATGGCTGTGAAATATCAAGTCCACACAGACAATATAAATTGAAAAATGTCAATATATTGACTGAGGAATCATATGATGATAATGTCAATTCATACCCAAAACATATTAGCACCAATGCAAACACAAGATTGTACATGTATGTAGAAATAACAGCTTCTACTAAAGTTCAGAACAGACAGGTGTGTCACATAGGCCACGTTGGTGTAATAGTCGATTAATATTGTTTTGTGTTATTTACTCATATTCTTGGGGTTGGATTGAAAATATTTCATATGCCACACGCTACCCTATTCCATATCCTTAGAAGCAAAAATGCTTTCAAAAATACAAATGTGAATGGAGAGAAGCACATCCCAGGCTGAACAATGTTTGATTCCCTGCTAAAAGGGCAATTTTTAGAATGGACAAATGCAGATCTGTCAGAAGCTAAAGAACTAGACATCAGCATCTCTCAATCATCTCTTGAGACTGATATGATACAGAACATTTTTGCTATGATTGATTATGTTTCTTATTTTGCTTTTAGAAGACAATTATAGTGTGATTATTTGCTCAGGATGTTGAGTTTGGATACTTTATTGAATGTACAATAGTATTATGTAACCCATGTGACCAACATGACCCAATCATCTTCCCTTTAAGCCAATCCCTTTAAGTTCATTGTCATGTGTGTTTCCGGGTTGTCTGCTGCTCACTGTTGGTTGTCGCGTCAGTTGTTGATAAAACAACTTGAAGTTCTAAATCAACACATCACTCATTTAATCTCTAAACTTTGAAGATCTCCGGTGAGTTGTCAAATACCATGACTTGACGTTGTGTTGTATCTGCAATAATAGCGCCGCTAACATTCCCTCCCATTACAATATTCGCCAGGTTGTGATACCTTCCTGATTTGAACAACTTGTCATTGCATCCACCTCCTCAGAAAATTTGTTACTCGACGGTGAGTAAATATCAGTCATTTATAGTAGGGCGTTATTTTTGCTACGCTCCGCCAGTTAGCATTAGCTACCAACTCGACAATCAGTGGCCACATCAGTCAAGTTTACTTATGAATTAAACTAAATAAAAAGTCATACTGTTGCAGCCGAATTAAAGACCACACCGTTGATACTTAAGGGTTTCCCTTTCAACTTTAGATTGAATTATTTTTCGTGAGTTCTTTGTTGGTGTTACTTTCTATGCTGGTGCAGCAATGAAGTCTGGTATCCAACATGATCTTGGTTGTAGCTACACTGATCAATCACATTTTAAATTGATTGATTTGATTCAATTAGTTGTTGTTTAACGACTGCTAATTATGTCAATTAAGCAATTTTGAACTTGAATTATGAAGTGCACTTTTTAAAAGGATTTTTTTCTTATTATAATGAAATTGTCAAAACATAGCAAGTATGTATTTGTTTTATATAAATATAAAATTTATATATGAACTTAATGTGTGTTTGCTGGCCTTTTAGGTCAGGTTTTTTTTTTCTTCCGGATCCCTTCACGGATACACTGGATGACGGAAGATGGCGAGCTACCCACCCACCATCTGGTGGTAGGAAACAGAACTACACTTTCCATATAGGAACTGAACAGACTAAGGAGTATCAAAAAAGGGAAAATAACTATTCTCCCTTCATTTTTGGACATCTTGTGGACTCTATTAGCTTTTGAAGTGTCACTGACATAAGTGTTTTGTTTGTTTTCTATTTTCCTGTTTCTTTGAGAACTTTATTTATTTATTTTTGTTGTTTTGGTATTATAATTATCATTATTATTATTATTACTATTATTATTATTGCCACTGCAATAAATAGCAGTATTAACAAAACCTTTTTTGGCATCAGTTGTATTAATTATTCACCCAATCATGACTTCATGTCGTACCTATTTCTGATCTACAAACTGGTTAACACTAGACCTTGCAGTCAGATCTGCGCATCAAAAGAAAGCGTTACAATTAGCCAAAATAATATAAATGGCCATTTAAAGACCAAATCATGCCAATAGATTAACAGTAATTTTTTAAAAATTTTTCCCACATTTTAATGGTTTCTTAGGGCTTTCTGTGGGTTTTATTTAGAAATGTTAATATATTTTATTACTGCAGTGTTCAGTGGTCATTTGAAGTATTACGTCACTATTTTATTAATGTGGTTTACTACCTTGGTTAACGTGACTTGTTATTAATGGCTCTAAAACGTATGATTACAAAAGATAAATAATAATAACAAGAAAATTTAAACGGGCTTGAAAAAATGTGCCCATTGGTGGGACCTCAGCTTTCTGAGACTAAACATTAGCATGAATGCTAAAGTAAGCTACAATGCTCAGTAGCATGTGACTGTTGAGACATTTCAAAAGAGCGGAAGAATTCCTATGTTTTTCAACAATAACAATATTTGTTGGCAAGCTGTTGCTTTTTACATTTCTGAAATTTATCTAATGTATGTTTCTCATGTCTAAGCAGATAAGTAGTATTTCAAAAGCACTTGTGTTTTACAAATTATGAAGAGTATTCAGGCATTTCAAAATAGTGGAAGAATTGATATATTTTTTCAACAGTAACATTTGTTGGCAAGTTGTTGCTAAGAGAGGAGCGTCTTCTATTGTAATAAATTGAAACGAAGTAAACATTTGCTTTTAACATTTCTAAAATTTAGCAATGTACAACTATTATGTGGAAGCATTTAAGTAGTATTTCAAAAACACTTATGTTTTATAAATAATTAGTGTTGAGACATTTTGAAATACCTGTAGAATTTCTAGATTTTTTCAACAATAAGCATTTGTTTACGAGCTGTTGCTAGGAGACGAGCATGCTTTTTGGTAACGAATTGAAACGAAGTTAACGTTTGTTTGTTTTTTATAAAATTTATGTACTGTTCTTTTATCTTAGCTTTTAAGGAGTACTTCAAAAGCGCTTATATTTTATAATAAACTACAGTGTTGACACATTTTAAAATAGCAAAAGAATTCCAATGTTCTTTCATCAATAACCATTATTTGTTGACGAGGTGTTGCTAAGAAACGAGCCTGTTTTCTTGTAACGAATTGAAACAAAGTTAACGTTTTATTTTTTTTTCCGTAAAATTTACGTACTGTGAAGTTCTTGTATCTAAGCATTTAAGGAATACTTCAAAAGCACTTATATTTTTATAAATAATTAGAGCATTCAGACATTTCAAAATAGCAGAAGAATTCCTAGATATTTTCACAAAAGGCCTTTGTTACAAGCTGTTGCTAAGAGACGAACATGCTTTTTGGTAACGAATTGAAACAAAGTTAACGTTTGTTTGTTTTTTCTAAAATTTACGTACTGTTCTTTATCTTAGCTTTTACGGAGTACTTCAAAAGCGCTTATATTTTATAATAAACTACAGTGTTGACACATTTTAAAATAGTTAAAGAATTCCAATGTTCTTTCATCAATAACCATTATTTGTTGACGTGTGGTGTTGCTAAGAAACGAGCCTGTTTTCTTGTAACGAATTGAAACAAGTTAACGTTTTATTTTTTTCGTAAAATTTACGTACTGTGAAGCTCTTGTATCTAAGCATTTAAGGAATACTTCAAAAGCACTTATATTTTATAAATAATTAGAGCATTCAGACATTCAAAATAGCAGAAGAATTCCTAGATATTTTCACAAAAGGCCTTTGTTTACAAGCTGTTTCCTAGGAGACGAACATGCTTTGGTAACGAATTGAAACGAAGTTAACGTTTGTTTGTTTTTTTCTAAAATTTACGTACTGTTCTCTTTATCTTATTTAAGGAGTACTTCAAAAGCGCTTATATTTTTATATTAAACTACAGTGTTGACACATTTTTAAAATAGCTACAGAATTCCAATGTTCTTTCATCAAAAACCTTTTTGTTACGAGGTGTTGCTAAGAAACGAGCTGTTTTCTTGTAAGGAATTGAAACAAAGTTAACGTTTATTTTTTTCGTAAAATTTACGTACTGTGAAGCTCTTGTATCTAAGCATTTAAGGAATACTTCACAAGCACT